TGGTGTTTTGGATTTAAAAGGAAATCCTTTACCAAAGAAGTCAAGCCGGCCACTTGACTTTCCAACGAGATATTGGATCCCGCTGCCATGACTCGTCTTGATGATGACCTCCCATTGTAGTGTCTAGAATTTTCGGCCAACTCCGAGATGAGATTCCTAGCTTGGGAAGGGGTTTTGTTGACAATTCCCCCTCCAGATGCTGCGTTCACAAAGCGTCTATCTTGCTCCGCAAGATCGTCATAGAAGTAGAGGATGAGGTCTTGCTCTGTGTAACCATGGTATGGGCAACTAGCACACAATTTTTTAAAACGCTCCCAATACTCATATAATGTCTCATCATCTTTTTGCTCGATGTTGCTTTTTTTTTTTTCAAAGATGATGAGACGGATGCATGGTAGTACCTTTCTAGGAAGCATTTTTTCATTGACACCCATGTATCTATACTCCCTGAAGGGAGATAGAATAGTCAATCCTTAGTTGTGTCTTTGAGGGAGAATGGAAAAGCCCTCAACTTGATTTGTACCTCGGTGACTCCATTTGGGCACATGCTTGTGCAAACAATATGGAATTCCGAGAGATGTTTGTTTGGGTCCTCGCCCCGTAGACCATGGAATGAAGGAAGCAAATGGATGAGCCCCGATTTGAGCTCAAATGTAGCACCTTCATCAACAGTGGGGAAGGTGATACATAGCGGTTGTTGGTTGAGGTCTGGAGCTGTGAGCTCCCTCAGCGTTCTTGTTTCAAGAGCCATAGTGGTTGGCTCTTCGGTGTCGCTAGAACTAGAGCTAGCGGTGTATGAGTCTCTGGAAGATGATTCTTCCGAGTCAGTATTAGAAAATTTACTTTTCAACCGCTCGAAAGTTTGTTCTATTTCTGGGTTTTTGTGATATGTGATTTCGTTTATGGAACGATGTTTAACCATAAACTCCACTAAGCTCAGAAAATAGAAAAATAAACACTCTTTATATTTTTGTTTAATATATTTTTTGATTTTTCTTGAAATGAAATAAAAGAAAAATTAATTGTCTTTCCCCGGCAACGGCGCCAAATTTGACGTGCACTTGTCGTGAGGTGCACTCAAAATAAATAGAATACAATGAATATACGTAGTATAACGAAGTAAGGTTCGTATCCACATGGAAAGGAATACTTTTCTTTTATATAAGTAGTAACAAAGGGGGGTTTAGATTTGTTTGATTTAAAAAACACTAAGATGAACAACCTATATGAGTTTAATTTAATGAGATGAGGACTTGGTTTTGCTTTTATCCACTTAATGAAATGTTCGTCGATCCCGGTTATATCTTTAACTATCTTCCTCTCGAATACTCAATCGAGGCGTATATCCAGTTCATCGAGGGTAGTTATTAATAACGAGATGCGTTCATTAATAAAACTTACTATCGAGTCAATATAGATCAAGCACCGTATATTAACTTGATAGTAGTTGTAAACTTAAGATGAAAACGATTGAGATTGATAACCTCAACACAAGCGGTTTATTGGTTTACTCAATATAATTAATTCCCCTTGGCATATTAACCATGAGATGCATGTATTAATACTCCAAGTTTACTACCGTTGAAAGAACCGGATTAATAACAAGTGTATTAACCGATTGATTCTAGTAATAATTAATATGAGAAACAAAACTAGTTGATACTTTAAGTAATGTTTAAAATATTAACATGAAATATGAATAGCAATTAATTAATACTCAAGGAAGAATATTAAAGAATATGAATCCTACTATGATTAATATCAAGATGTTAATTAATTGTCATCTTAGTAACACTCCCCAATATTAACATAGAGGAAGAAATAGCTATTACTATAACCAATGTCAAGATGTTAACTAATTGTCATCTTAGTAACACTCCCCAACTTTGATATAGAAATAGTATTTTAAAGGAAGAATTAATATTCAAGGAAGAAGATTAAAGAAAATAACTCACAACTTACAAATTCATTAAGCTTCAAAGTAGTAAAACCAAGATGGAAGTGTTTAGCTCCTCATTTGGAGACTAAACATGATGAAAAATATAAAGAAAGAACTATTCTATACTGAGCTTAGATGTACAAAGGAATTGGATCTCTTTTTGTGAAGGAAAGGAGGTGTATTTATAGGCTTTTAGGGTGGGATTCGGGTACTCGATCGGGTATATACATGGTACCCGATCGAGTATGTGTGTAATACTCAATTCGAGGTGTACTCGATCGGTTTCAGGCTATTTTCCATAAGTATACCCGATCGGGTATATGTTTATACCCGGTCGAGTATGCTTAGAAAGTGGTATTCGGACCATACTCGACCGATCTTTGTTTAAAACTCAAAGGCATACCCGATCGGGTATGTCGGTCTACCCGATCGGGTATAGACATTAAATCGTGGCCGAAATCCTCCCGGCATGTTCTCTTCTGTTCGGATCTGATCCGATTTGAAGTTTCAACCTAATACCTGATCGAGTATAGTTAATACTCGACCGAGTATAGACCAAAATTTAGGATCCTTCTTTTGTCTTCAAATTTTGCACCTTCTTTCCACTCTTTGGGTTCACCAACTGTACTTTGAGTGATCAAGACCTGTTTGAGCTCAGAATATATCTAATCTAAACTATTTACAAGAATTTAATAAACTAATCTATTACACCAAAAGTGTGTAATTTCCATAGTAAAGATCAAGCAAAACTAATTAAAAAACACAAACATGCATATGGAAATTACAAACGTATCAACTCCCCCACACTTAAACCTTTCTTCCGTTTCCCGACCCCACCAGCTGCAAGAACTCGACTATTGTCCATAGGTGCGTCTGGATTGGGAGCTAGAAAATAACAAAGGAAAATGTTAGTACCGAGCGGCCTTATCACATGGGAAACAAAAAAGAAGAGAACGTTTCTCGCACGGGAAGGACCGCCCGGACCATGGCACTTGATTTCTCAAAACAAGTAAACCCAAGAGAATGGGCAGTACCTATCCCGACTTCGATAAGCTGATCGGGAGTATGGTAATTCATGATATCTACACATTTTTCCTTCTCCACAGCGAGCACATCCTTGTAAATTTCTTCAGTAAGGACTGGATCGGGAGATTTGCGAGGGAAGGCATTCCATTTGCGGGGGATCAGGCCGTCCGGGACAGACACAAAGAAGAACCGATCCTTCCACCCCTTGATTGAAGTCGGATGGCCCTTAAACAGGATATGTCCCGTTCGGGCACTAGTAGCCAAATAGCCGTGTGTTTGTTGGGGGGCTACTTTAAAAATTTGGTGAAATAAATCTAGGGTCGGCCGGGCACCGACATCTTTACAACGGAAAATAAAGCCCGCCATTGCCCGATAGGAGTTCGGCATGACTTGGGATGGTACAATTTCATAGAAATTAAAAAATGAAACGAAAAAAGATGTAACGGAAACCTAAGCCCGAACCTAATTGAATCGAAATGGACTACGACCATCCCAGGGGTATGGCGCATTGGGTGAAGCCCAACTCGCAATCGGAAGTCCACTGGGTCTGGGATTAGGGCCGGAATTTCGGCCCTATTGTGAGAAGTCAGTTTTTGCCGCCTCTGCCTAATCAATCTTAGGTCAAGCGTGTGACGAGGGAAATCGTTGGGACGTCCAGTCGCGATGGAAGTCAGCTCATCTTCAGACTTGGTGTCATCGGAATCTTCACTGGAGGAAGAAGAACTGCCAGAGGAATCCTCCGTATCCGCCCTAATCTCCGCCGTCGCCACATTGGAGCCCTCAACAAAAGGGACGGTGACAATCTCCACATCACGGTCTTCCCCTTGGGAGACCATTTCCGAATCGGAACACAGTCGAGAACTCATAACGATCGGATCAAAGAAGAGAAAGGTTTAAGGGATGAGAAGTACCTGGGCACGAAAAGCTTGAAATAAATTGAGAGAAGAGGCAGAGAAAAAGCACGAAGAAGATTGAAAATTCGAAACCCGGATTTGAGGAGTTAATGGTTAATTTATAGCCTTACAAACGCCGTATCAAAGACCAATCAAATAGGGGCACGTCACTGAAACTATTTGAAATAATGCGTGTCACATGGAAGAGCAAATATCAACAATCATGACGAATATGGGGAAACTCAAACGACAGCCGTCAAATCACAGCATGGGGAACTGACCACTTCTGTACCCCGATCGCCATTCGGCACTTGCAACATTGGTGCTTATACTTCCGAATGCAATCACTGTCATTCGAGACATCGGAAGTGGGGGACTCGTGTTGGGATATTGACCCGGAGGCCCAATACCCGGATTAAAGGCCCAGGACATCCAGCCCAAACAACGAGTCCACTACCTTATGATAAGTAGGCCCAGTGAGATATTCATATCGAACGAGGTTCGGGCCAAGTATAGGCTGCCCCAGAAGACAGACATACCGAACGGGGTTCGGGTCATACATCATACTTGGGCCAAATCGACGATGTTTTACAGGGCCCGTTATCCCGTTCGGGCAACGGACAACCAGCAGGTGGCCAGGTGCAATTAATGCCAGATTGTGACATCATCAAGTGGAGGCATGGGTGATCAAGTCGGTGGAACATCGGTCAATCAGCATAAAACATCACATACTCTCCATTAGTATAAATAGAAGGTTTAATATCATTGGAAGGGTTAGCTTTTTAATACTCAAGCCCTAGAATAGCCTTATTACTCTTGTTTCTTGTATTAAGCATCAATCCGACGTACCGTTCGGGTAATTTCTTTGTAATCAAACAGGTCAATTAATACAAGTGGGCTTTTGAGCATTCGATTATCATCTTTTATATTTTTCTTTTACATACCGAATTATTGTCCATTTCCTGATATATCCAAAGTCTGTGTTGGGCTTTCGGATCTACGGGACTAAACCTCAACAACTTTATATATCCAACTTTTATCAAATTTAAATTTTCTTGATCAGACTTTGTAGCCGTTGTAATGTAGTTTCTGAATATGTAAATTTTATTTACTAAAAATAATTCTACTAATGACAGGGATTAGTTAAATTTATGGTCAGTCAAACGTCGTAAACCTTGTGGGAACGTTTAAATGGGACGGAGGGAGTATTAAATTAATAGGGATTTCCAAAAATGTGATCACTTTTACGTTTGGACAAAAATGTGACTAAAATAAAGTGACAACCATATGTTCATGTCACTGCCTCATTTTCGTGTCACTATCGGATGTCACTGTTGACATCATTGCATGTGTCACTGCAACTGCCACCGTCATGTCACCGCCGCCGACCATAGTGATACCACCACAGTGACATCGCTACAATGACATTGTCACAGTGACACCACCAATCACCACCCCCGATCAATAAATGTCGCCGTACACCGGCCCCAACCCTCACCCGCCTCACGGATGACCCACAACTGCCCCCGAACTCGCCCCTAGCCCTATGCACCAGCTCCCCAGCCCCCAAATGGCCAAATCCCTCCCCGGCTCCGCTCCTTCTTCCCCTGTCCCCCACCACCACCAACCTCACCCTAACCTAGGCCCCCAGTCCCATAGCACTCTCCACACCCCACAGCACCCTCCACAAGACTGTGTAGAGGACAATAACAGGTGCCTTCAAGCCTTTTGTCTTCATTTGAGGGAAGCAGGAAGCTCGGAATACGACCACCGCACCTCCGCCATCAGCGGCGGCCCCCAAATCGAAGTTATCATCATGGCGGATCTGGAACCGGAGGCCACAAATCAGAGTCGTCTCCCATTGAGGAAGGCGGATTCGGAACTGGCGGCCTCAAATCGAAGTCGTCGTCCATGGGAAGGGAGGACAGCGAAAAAAACGGAGAAGCTAGTCGGTGTTGCTGACGTCGACGAAGCTGAGGGCGGAGGTTTAAGATCCTAGGTCGGCGAAGGTTGATTGCGGCGGAAATAGAAGCTCGGCGAGGTCGGTTGTGATGAAGGCTGAGGAGTTAGGGTGGAAGAGAGAAGATAAGCGGAAGGCAGGGTTGCGTTTGTGGAAGAAAGCAGGGCTACGTTTGTGGAAGAGGGCACATGAAGCGGAAGAGATGAGATAAAGCTCCAGCGTCTCACTTTTATGTTTTTTTTTGGTATTGGCCACATTTTTGTGTAATAGAATCTGAGTGATAATATTAGTGTCATTCTTTTAAGAAAGATTATCTAGGAAATTAGGAATGATTCTACACAACCGATTGTAATAATAAAAACTATTTTGGGATGTTTTTTTTTTTGCCTTTTTAGAAATTAACCTTCGAATACACGGTAGTAGGCAAAAGCAAAAGGTCAAAATTCCTACACTTATTATCTGCTACATACACGGTAGTAGCCAAAAGCAAAAGGTCAAAACTCCTAAAAAGCTCAAAATAGTGCCCCACACGGCATGTAAGAGTATATTAATTGCATTATACACGTTTATAACACTATAGACGTTTATATTAAGAATTATTCTTCATCTACATGCCCGCTATATATACGTCACTTTTTTTTCTAGTTGTAAATGAGGGGGTATATGGTTAGAAAACTAAAAAGAATGACAAATCAATAAATAATTTGTTACTTAGAAAATGGATAAGAATAATCTCAACTATTAGTGATCTACTTGAAATAATTCAAAATATCAATTATTTCAAAATAATCTCAACTATTGAAAAAAAAATCAAAAAACTCCACGACCATAAAAATCCCAAAAAAACTCCCAACTATTTACGTATTGTTTAGTCCCTGGAATATTAATTTTTTGAGTTTTTTTTCATTATATGAGATTATTTTGAGATAATTGATAAAACTCTTAAATTATATAAATGCTCTTCACAAATTAATAAGCACGTCTCATGCAAAGTCTTGCACATATGTATTCATGGTTGTAATTTAAGAGCTGATTTTTTGGACACTTTTTCTATACCAATTTGTAAGTGTTCCACCGTGTATAAGTATAACTGTATTTGACGCAAATGATTACTATCAATTTGGGTTTAATGCACCGATGAGGCAGCCAAGCAAGCAACCGAGGAGACAATCGAGGAGGCAACCGAGGCAGCCGAGGAGGTACCCGACCCTTAGACATCGTGGATGCAGAAGAGGATCATCATCGTGACTATGATGATAATGATGACGCATATGATTATGATAATTCTAATTTTTATCATAATGGAGTCCGACGTACGGGCATGTAATTACATAATATTGTTTAACATTGTATGGATTTTGTTTTTATAATCCAGTCTGTGATAACATTTTTTATGTTTAAGATTGTATGGAATTTGTTTTTATTCTAATTGCTTTAAAGTAAAATTAAAATAATTTTTTTATTTAAAATCGCTTTTTTTAAAAAAACAAAAAACATTAGTCACGGACTAAATCCGTGACTACGTTTTAATCCGGACTAAATTCAATTTTTTTTCAAAACATAGTCACGGATACATGTCCGTGACTAATCGTGGGTTTTTTAAAAACATTACTCATGGGCACGTCCGTGACTACTACAAAAATAAAAAAAATTAAATTAAACTTAAGTCACGGACCATGTCCGTGACTAGCATAAAAAAATTTAAATTAAAAGTAGTCACGGATATGGTCCGTGACTAACGCGCCGGAGGGCTAATTCCGGTCAAAATGTAGTCACGGACTCGGTCCGTGACTAAGCCGTGACTACACTTAGTCACGGCCAATGTTCAGTGACTACATTCTAGTCACGCGGAATTAGTCACGGACCTTGACTACGGTCCGTGACTAAGTCCGTGACTACAGACGAACTTTTTTGTAGTGCTCGTGATATAGAAATTCAGCGCGTTAGCCCCCTGTAATTTGAAAAATGCATCAAACCCCCCTTGTGTTTTAATTAATCATGCACAGAATCTCTTTTATGAATAAATTTTATGATTCTGAAATCACTTTTCATAATATTCTGATTGAATATGCAAGTAAATATGTCAAAATCTCTATATCATACAAAAATGTTAATCTTTTTTCTTTTATTTGACAATTGAATTTGTTCGTAGAAGAGATTTTGCACATAATTAATTAAAACACAAGGGGGTTTGACGCATTTTTTAAATCACAGAGGACTAATGCGCCGAATTTCCATATCATAGGAGGTTTTGGTGCATTAAACCCTATCAATTTAGCTAATAAAAGGTAGATTGTATAGTACGATTAACGTATCGTACATTGGTCTCATGGATCAATGAGAATGTTACAGTTGAATTCACAATCCAAATGATCCAACTTGGTTTCACACTCCAATTTGTCCTATCATAATTAGTCAACATCTCTAACTTGGTTGTCCAGTTTTTTTATCATTAATTTCATCCTTGATTAATTAAACAAATGATCCATATTATATTTCTGCCATTTAAAATTCACAGTCATACAGTCAATTTAACTCTCTCTCTCTCTCTCAATCTCATATATGTAAGAGAATTTGGTCATATTTCAATTTAGAAAAGGGTCAAATAAGATCTTCTATTATTACGGAATCGTCACATAAGGTCATGTACTCAATAAAGTGTCATATAAATATATCTACTTTTAAAAAACAATTGGATGGGTCAAAACGATCCGTCGATAACCTTTTAATCCCGACTTTAGCTTACGTGTCATTATTTTTGTCTTGTATTTAAGCCAATCTTGGCAAAATTTTTCACGTCATCTTTATGATCTATTTTAAAAAGATAGTCAAACGTACGCTAAACCGGAATTATGAGGTTGTCAACATGTCATTAGGACACATCTGGTTGCTTTTTATAAGTAGACATATTTATATGACACTTTATTGAATACATAACCTTATGTGATGATTTCATAATAGTAAAATGCCTCACTTTTGACCCCTTTCTCTATTTCAATTTGATAGATTTTTCCGATTCAATACAATTTTTTATCTAAGAGTTTTTAAATATATAAATTTTATTAAACTAATGTATGGAATATAATAATACATCATCATGTGTGTATACCAAGGGCAATGTTATAAGCTAATTTTTTTTGTAAAGGGATCAAGACAAGTAAAGCCAAAATAAAAAATGGATTTAAAATGATGTAATCATATGAAATTTATATTTCTTAAAGTTTATCGAGTCCCACTGAACAAAATGATTTACATATTTGAAATTTTTATTCGGGAGTGCGTTTTTTCAAGCATTTTATTCATGAATCGATAAATGTGATAGTTTGGATCATTATAAACAAGTGTTGCATTTACTTACATTGACCATATCCGTTTTTTATATCAATTGTTGCATTTACCCATTCTGACTCACAATCTGTTGTAGCATTTCACTGTTAGAAATAATCTTATACGAGTAAGATTTATTACGAAATTAGACCCACGGGAAGAAAATATTACAGAGCATGTGCCTAGGGGTGAACCTGGGTCAGTCCGATTCCGGGCCCGGTCCGGTTCAGGCGGGCTTTTTTCCTTAGAATCTTAGGCCCGGAACCAGCCCATGTTGATACCGGGTCCGGGCCGGTTCCGATTCAAAGTCTTTTTTTTTTTGCTTTCTTATTATCCCTGACCCCCCACCCCCGACCCCCCAATTAGATAAATTTTCAGCTCTAAAGAACAAGAGTTTTAAGTGTACTTTTACTTTTAAGAAAAGGTTTGAAAAGAAGTGGTGTTGAACCGTTCGTATATTATGCAAGCAGGTGTACGAGAAACCGTACATCCAGGTTTATTTTTAATTCTATAAAGTTTCAGTCTAATTTCAATAAAATTTAGGGAATTTTACACAAGTAAACTAAAAAGTGTAAATAATATCACATTTTTTATCTTTTCAAAGTTAATTTCAAAAATAGACTAGAAAGGATTTCGTTTTCAATTATAGACCATGACCACTAAGCTTGCATGTTAAGTATCGGATTGCACGAATTGCACAGGAAAGATAGAAAACCAATTCATGTACCAACTTTATGCTCTATCATTTTAAAAAAATGATAAATTTTTTTGAAAAAAAACACTGAAATAACATTATGCATTGACGAGCACTCTGTCACGGTGCGTCAAAATAAATTTAATATTAGCACTAATACATAGTATAGCGTAGTAGAGTTCGTATACACAGGGAAAAGAATAATTCTCTTTTTATGAAACTAGTAAATAAAAGGGGGTTTTGGGATTGAATGATTTAATTTAAAAACTAAGATGAACAAACTATATGTGTTTTAATTCAAAGATAAAAGAACTTGGCATTGCTACTTTCCACTTGTTGATATATTTTAGTCGATCATTGTTATATCTATAACTTATTCCCCCTCGAATACTCAATCGAGGAGTATATCCAATTCATCGAGGGTAGTTATTAACAACGACCGTTCATTAATAACCCTTACTATTAATCAAGTATAGAACACCGCCATATACCGACTTGATAGTAGCATTTAATCTCTTAACTCCTTGATGAAATCAATTGAGATTGATAACCTCAACACAACGATTTCGGTTTAACCAACAAAATTAATCCCTCTTAAGTTTATCAACCACGACCGTGCATTAATAAACCGAAGTTACTTACTTGTGAAACCATCAATGATTAACCATCGGTCCGTTGATCGTTTCTATTAATAATTCATATATGAAACAAACTAGTTGATCCTTTAAGTAATGTTCAAAATATTAATATGAAATATGAATAGGAATTAATTAATATTCAATGAAGAATATTATTAAAGGTGATGAATCATACTATAATTAATATCAAGATGTTAACTAATTTTCATCTTAGCAACACTCCCCAACATTAATATAGAGGAAGAAAATACTACTCTAACTAATGTCAAGATGTTAACTAATTGTCATCTTAGCAACACTCCCCAACATTAATATAGAGATAGTATTAAGGAAAGAACTAATAATTAATATTCAAGGGAAGAAGTTAAGAAAATAACTCACAACTTTAATAATCAACAAGCTTCAAGAGCAACATCAAGAATGGAAGTTTAGCTCCTCATTTGGAGACTAAACATGCTAGAAAATATAAAGAAATGCTATTCTAAACTGAGCTTAAGAGTATATGTGAATCGGTGATTTTATTGTGAAGGAAAGGGGTATATTTATAGGCTTTTGGGAGCTGCAGGGTCTGATACCCGACCGGGTATATAGGATACCCGATCGGGTATCTTAGGAAATTTCCCAGAAAGTCACTTTTCTGGGCATACCCGACCGGGCATGTCGGCATTCCCGATCGGGTATGTGACAAATCTTTTATGAAATCATGCTCCCACGTTCATTTGTCCTCGATTTTGATTTTTGACAATCGAATCA